CTTGAACTATTTTGACGTTGTAATGGATGAGATGATTCAAGATAATTCATATGGAAAGATATAATGTACATATATACATATATATATATATATCTATATAATATTGTATATGCGGATTTATAGGAATATATTTATGATATAAAAATTATTTATCGTTCTATATAATAATGAAATATTAATAATATTTTAATAATAAAATATTTTCTTTCTATTACTAATATGTTTATAGAAATTATATCTTTATTTCAATCAAATGATCTTCAATAGTTTTGTACATTTATAAAATATTCGTTGTTTTTAATATTCGATATTCCTAGAGAAGGAACAAAGAACGGTGAGTTGTGAATGTTAATAGATTATCGAAGATATCGATTCAAGATTAATTATGTAATTAGGAGACAGGAAATTATTTCGTGTATATGTACATAAATGTGTGCGTATGCGTATGTATATATGTATGTTTCTAGGAACGACACATCTAATGTCTCGATCTAAGCTTCAAATGTATTCGGCTCTACGTTCTATCTACCCATCTATTTACCTAACTGTCGGTGCTTCGGTTTGTTTCCAATGTATACACTATACAGTCGCTGTAGCACTTCACGATACTAGATACTAGTTGAAGTAACACTTCACGATACTAGATATGTCCAAAGATAATATTCGGACATTTACATGGGAGAGTATATATATATATATATATATACATATATATTGTATAACTTGGTCGTTCGGTACGATCAGCCTAAAAAATTTTTATCGTTCGGTATCGTAATTTCGTACATATCTTTGAAAATTTTGTCAATGACGGTGTAAAAAATAAAATTATCTTTTTTTTTTTTTTTTTTTTTTTTTATATTTTACTAATGATCCAATGAAATTTTTTTTCGTAATATTATTCATAACATTTATTCATTTTATCTATAATCGAATATATTTTAAGAGCTATTCAAGCTAATATTTTTATTATAGAAAAATTACTTTTCTTTCATTTATACGTAAAAAGGATATATTTGAAAAGAGGAAACAATGAAAGATAAAGTAAAATGTAAAAATGTAATAACTAAAATCGTGTGAATTTGTTCATAGGAATAATTTTTAATTATAATTAATTCTAAAATTGTGCTATAGCTGATACATATATATATATATATATATATATACACTTCATAAATTTATAATTAAATATATAAGTACTTACGTTATTTTTATTTTCCAAATGATTTATGCTTTTTTTTTTTTCTAACACGTAAGATTACTTTTACAAAAGAAACATATATTACATAGAAAGATGAGAAGGAGAAATGTTGTCGTGTAATTTGTAGAAATAGCGGTTGCGAGAAACTTCTCTAACAAAAGAAAAGATGTAATCCTCTGCTTGATGTATCATAAAATTCAATTTTAAGGTAGACTGAAACGAAACTAAAGATACGACGGATGAACGGCATTAATCAGGAAATTCGGTCCAGTAACATGACCACGTGTACATTTAATTCATCTGAAAGTCATTCGCTTTTGTCATTATTTCTTTTTTTCTTTTAAAGCTTACAGAAAGATTAAAAACGGGATTTAAAGAGATATTTGAAAATGTAGATTGAAAACTTCTACATAGTACATTAACAAATAAAAGCAATAAAAGGAAGATACGTCAAATGCAAGAATTTTATATATGTTTTAGGAAGAAATTAAAAAAAAAAAAGATAAAAAAAAAAAAAGAAAAAAGGAAAGAAAAAAAAAGAAAGAAAAAGAAAAGAGAGAAAAATCCTAAAGAAAAATTGATAGGATACAACGAAGATGAGTTCTGTAAGTAAAAGTACTTGATATCTTATAAAAGAAATCAAAGAGATTCACTCGAAACATTAATCTTTCGAGCTGATGGTTTAAATCAAGAAAATATTTAAGTCTAGGAAAAAGAGAAAAAATGAATTTTTTATAAGTTTGGTTAGTCATTTTCGATGATTTTTAAACCTTCAACACTGATAGCACGTAGATTGCTATGAGAGAATAATCAACATATATAAATGAGGGTATAGGTAAATGTTAGGTTTGTGGAAAGCTGATGGGATTATTAGACCATCTAGCTAGTTAAATAATGTAATATAAATTACTTTCAAAGATAATTAGATCATTTTTCCCTAAATATACAATATGATTCTAAAAGGTGTCCCGTTATATTGAAACAATGTCAAAGAAAAATGTAAGAACGAAAGCGTACAAGTATTTTACTTTGGAACCAATTAATTTTTCTTTACAACGTTCTTTATACAAGTAGACAATTTATAGTCCTGTCTAAACTATCACGATAACAATGTTATTCACGGAAATAACTGTCTTTTCTGCTTAACTATTCGTAAGATAAAGTTAATGGTACTCGTAGATTTTTTTTTCGTGCTCGTTTGATCGTTCAACCGCTATTCGTAGAACATTTTCTTGCTTGTAATGTCTGATCATTAATGACTATACTCCTTGCATGTCAACTATGGATAATTTATGGATGGATAATTGGCAGGAATTCGTTCGACTCTCGTTAACATTCCCCTTACGATGATTCAACATAGAATTAATTTAATATAGATCGTGCGAGCTTCAAGTTACGAGGTTCTTTAACTCTTCACATTTATCATCGGGAGGTTTTTTTTTTTCTTTTTCTTTTTTTTTTACCTTTCTTTTATTTCCTTTTCATCCACCTTGTTCATAACTGTTTCTTTCTCTTCTGACGTAACGATCGATAAAAAAGACTGAAGCGGTCTTTCGTTTAACGTTTCACTTATTTCTTTACAATAATATTTGTTCGTTTTTCTTTTTCCCTTTTTTTCTTTTTTTTTTTTTTTTCTTTTCATTTATACAAAATTACACGATTTAATCATAATTGCCTTTTATATAATTTCGTTATTGTTATTGTTATTTCCATATCGTTAAGTTTGATAATAGCTTAATTGATCCATTTGCTTCCTGGTTGGACTCGCACCGTCATGTTTGTTATTTGCAAATGAGCTTGCAAACACGTCGACTCGTTATTTTAGATCGTCCAGAGGGAATAAAACTTATGATAAAGGTACGCTTATCCATACATTATTATGTATTATATTTTAATTCTTATAGAACTAGTTGTAACGAGCGTCATCCATGAATTCGGATTATGGATTCGCCTAATATACAGTACACTTGAAACGCTAACAAGCGATTATATCTGACGACATGAACGATGATTATACGCATATACATACACTAGCGAAGGTGTGTGTGTGTCTGTGTATGTGTATGTATGTGCTCATGCCTGGTATGTGTGTAAGCAAGTACAAAGCGATCATAGATCTAAATTACAGACAGCGTTAACAAATCCACTATTATTATATTTGCTATTTTAGATAGCTCATTATAATGGCATGTTTTGATGGGTTATCTTTCATTTATTATTATTATTTCTTTAGTAACAAATAATAAAGAAATAATAACAAATAATAAGAAAATGGTGAGACGTGTTAAATTGTTAAAAATATTAATAACAAATTGATATGTTTCTCTTATTGTACGAATGAATTTAATTATTGTTAAAATGAGATAATAAAAATGAAAAAATAATATTTTCGATTGACGTATCTCGCGATTTTGGTCAAGTGAAAATGTATTTTAAGGTATTTAAAATGACGAGGAAGGACATAAGAACGATAGATATGAATGGGAGTTAAAGAGAAGGGAAATTAAAGTCGCAAGGTCGTAATCGAGTCGCTAACGACTGACCTCGTAACGACTGTCGCGAAACGGGTGTTTCTTCTTGGTAACGTGAATTATACCGATATTATTAACATTTCCATAGAGTCGCTCGGGAAATGTTGTTCTGCTGTTCGTAAAATAATAATGGATGATAGGGAGCTAAACGTAGCGAGAGGAAATAACCTTCGTGTGTTATGCAGATAAAAAGTTCGATCGATTCTGAAATGAAATGTATCTATGGTGTGTTTTATTGATTAGGTGTCTGAACGTTGTCTATTAATCTTCGGAAACAACAAATTTCATCAAATATTTTTATTTGCCTTCTCGAGCGACAGTTTTTGACAGATTTATGTATTTTGGGGGGAAAAAAAAGAAAAAAAGAAAAAAAGAAAAAAAAAAGCTCAAGTTGATTGTTTATCGAGGGATAGTTACAAATATGCAAATAGATGTAGAAAAATTTTTACATACATTTGTTTCTGATAAGAGACGATATTTTGTAAAATTTGTTTCATTCCCTTTTTTGTTCCTTTTTCATCTTTTTTATTTTATTTATTTATTTATTTATTTTTTTTTATTAATAGAACACGTTTCTATAATAATTTAACATAGAAAGCGACAGATAAACTGAATACAAATAAGTTGACCGGAGTCCCAACAATTTACAGTTAAGTCGTACCACTCGCACTAAAGGTATTGACTAAAACTCGAAATTTGCGGTTCCGGCAAGAAAATCTACCATGTCTTTGCGAACGTTGCGCGAACGACCAAAGAGATATCGGTTCCGTGTCTTCGCTTTGCCTCTAACGAAGTAACTCAGCTACGTGTCTTGTTTTTCAAGACTAGTACTAACAGCTTTTACCACGTGATTCCTTGCTTCCTTACGAATTTGATCGTTTTCCTAGATCAAAAGATATAGTCGAATTAAATAGAAAATAAAAACTTTAATGCCTTTGTCGTTTACTTTGTTCGCTGACGTTAATACTCATTTAAAATAAATACCAACGGTATGATTTACGTGTAACAATTACATTTCAAGATTTTCTTCGTATAATAAAAAGTGTTAATTAATAATATGACGAGAGAAGAGAAGACATGAAGAAATTTCTATTAAAGTTTGTTATTTCAAATGTCAAAATGACAGTTTTTACTTAATTTAAGAAAATACGTAATTAAAGAATAAAGACGAAGGAGTAAATTGAAGATGTATTTCGATATCGAAGAAATATTAAATCCTTCGGGAACGACTTAAAGGAATGAGAAAAGTTACGAGCCATTCGATTTTCCAGTTCCCGTATTAGACATAACGGCAGTGGCCGGTTTCAAAGCGCAAATACCTTGCGATATCGAGCCACCGACGAAAGACGAGATGGTTATCATGGTCTTTTGGTACAAAGACGGGAAGGAAGGCGAGCCAATATACAGTGTGGATGCCCGCGGTAGAGCCGTAGGTCAAGCAAAGCTTTGGTCGGATCCATATGTATTTGGGGAAAGAGCGACTATGAGGACAAACGTGGTGCCAGCTGAACTCGAGATCGATCCTTTGCAATCGACCGATGGTGGTGTATATACATGTAGAGTGGACTTTAAGGATAGCCCAACGAAGAATCAGAAGATCAACCTCACCGTTATAGGTGAGCTTAATCGATCCTGTCCTTATCACTTCCTTTTCCACTTTTCTACCAATTTTCTTTTTCATACGATGTAGGTCAAGTGTTTTGTTATTCTTCGTGAAAATTACAAACTCATTAACCCGAAGAATTCGAAAAGACCGCGATATTTCAAATATTTCGTAGAGGGAAAGTAGAGAAGGAAAGTTTAGAAGAAGTAGTCTATTTAACTGGAAGAAGGAAAGTTGCTAAGTCGAATGGATCTCATTAATGAAGCGTAAAAGAGAACGAAGACGGGTCATCGCGTAACGAGTTTGACTAGCTTTCGGTTGGCGAAGGGCAACGCGATTTCGAATTAATTAATCGAACGCAGTAACCGTTCAACAGGTGTTGACCTCATCTGCGGCTAGCCGCATTTTCATTTTCTCGATTGGATCAGTCAAAGAGATGGCTAACTTTCCTTTCTAGTTTTATTAAAACGTTGAATCAACCAATGTTATTATGAATCGAGATAGTTGTTTGAAGATTTCTCATTGTTGGTTAAACTTTACTTTTTAATTTCAATGCTCACTCTTTTATTTAATTGATTTATATTGTATTTATAGTTTGATTATATACCCGTGTGATTTTAAAAGCTTTTAAAAATAAAATACTTCTGTAATTCTTCCTTAACCTGTTAGTTTCATGAAAAAATAAATATTTTTGTTAACCTGACTGCGCCGATTAATCGTCGGCCCTTTTTTTTTTTTATCGAACAATAGTGCCATCAAAGAAACCGGTGATCTACATGGGCTCGAGTAAAGTTCTGGCGAAGATATTACAACCCTTTAACGAGGGTAGCGAGATGACGCTATTGTGCGAGGTGATCGGAGGCACGCCACCACCGAGGGTCACTTGGTATTTTGAAGGAAAATTACTCGACGATACGTACACGTTAGAACATGGAGACGTTACTATAAATCGTTTGGATGTATCGCGAGTTACAAGGGATTTTTTAAGGGCTAGGTTGATTTGCAGAGCGAGCAATACACAACTTATGTCTCCGTTAACATCCGAGATTATTCTCGACGTTAATCGTGAGTTTTTTAATATCTCTATTGAATATCTTCTAGCTTGTAGAGTGTAAAAATGATTTTCAAGATTTTTTATTTGTTTTCTATTTTTCTATCTTTTTTTTTTTGTCTTTTTTCTATTTTTTTTCTATTTTTTTTTTATTTTTTTTTATTTTTTTTTATTTTTTTTTTATTTTTTTCAGAATCATATGATTTTTAATTTCGTGCTATTCCGTGAAATCTTTTGATATTTTTGCAGACTGGAATATCATTTTGAGAGACGAGTTAATATATTCGAGTTCTTTTTTTTATTTTAGTAAAACCATTAATAGTGAATATAACAAACAAACGAAATCACATATCGGCATTAAGAACGTACGAAATAGAATGTGCGAGTTCTGGTTCAAGACCGGAAGCCATTATAACTTGGTGGAAAGGGACGCATCAAGTGAAGCATATGGCTAGAAATGTGAGTGCAATTGCTATTAAACTGCTACGCGAAATATCAGACGTTATCTATATAACGAATATCGTTTCGTCTTATACGAGCTTAGATACTGAGTTCTTCATAGTTTGCAGATAGTCCGAACATAACGAGAAGTGTGCTGAGTTATGTTCCTACGATCGAGGACGAAGGAAAGTATTTGACTTGTCGTGCCGAAAATCCTGTTGTACCTGACAGTGCCTTGGAAGATAGATGGCGATTGCTCGTTCATTGTAAGTGAAAATAAATTAATCATTAAACGTTGAATATTATTAAAATCATCAACGGTAAGAAATATTATTATATTGCTATTAACTTATATTATTATTATTATTATTATTATTATTATTATTATTAAATATCATTTTATTTTTGTACCACTTTAGTGCGAATATATTTATAAATAGAGTAATTCTTTTCTTTTTCAATTTGACATAAGTGTTAATTGAGCGAACAGAGAAATGGAGTGGAAAAAAATGTTTATGGTTAAGAATGATTTATATGTGTATAGAATGAAATTGAATGGCGCATAAGATGATTTCACGCAAGGAGAAAATATTTGTGGGACATTGGAGTTCAGTGGGATCGATTTATCGCGTTTGCGGCTTACAGACGCTCCAGTGGTCACGATCAAATTGGGCTCGAGTTTGCGGGCGAACGATATAAACGAGGGTGACGACGTCTACTTCGAGTGCGACGTCCGGGCCAATCCAAAAGCTTACAAGTTGGCCTGGTTCAAGGACGGCAAAGAATTACATCAGAACGCGACAGCCGGGATCATACTTCCTGGTGGTAATTCTTTGGTTTTGCAGAGTGTAACTAGAAGTTCGGCTGGCGAGTATTCGTGTATGGCTACCAATCTTGAAGGAAAATCTACCAGTAGACCAGTTACTTTAGAGATAATGTGTAAGTTGATCATTTAACAAAAATATATAAGCAATAAAAAGTGAACTTTAATCATTTTAATACGTATAAATTGATATCTTTATATTTAATGACTTTTTATATAATATTATTTGAAATAGAGAAGATTGTATTTAGATTTAGGGGAGATGAGTGGGACGATTTGAACGACATATAATCTTATTATTTATTATAATAATAAATCTCATTTTGATTATTATTAATGATTGTTAATAGGATCGATCTAATAAAGATGAAAGAATGATTTTTTTTTTAAATATTTTAGATGCCCCAATTTGCAAAGAAGGCTCATCAACACAAGTGGTAGGCGCGTTAAAGCACGAGACGATATCTCTCGTTTGCGGTGTACAATCGAAACCACCTCCTACGACCTTTCAATGGACGTTCAACAACTCCGGCGAACTGATGAACGTGCCGGCGAACCGATTCACGCAGGTCAAACCGTTGAGCCTCGTCACGAGCCATTGGCACGGCTCCAGAATGAATTACACGCCGTCGAACGACATGGACTATGGGACGATAGCTTGCTGGGCGAGAAATCGTATAGGGCTGCAGAAAACGCCCTGTCTTTTTCAGATCATTGTAGCTGGGAAGCCATACCCACTGCAGAATTGTACATACGTACAATCGACCGGAGCCTTCTCCTATCGAATGGGTAAGTGACCTGCTCTATCTTCCTATCGTGTTGGCTACTAAGCCAAGTTTATATAAATCGATATTTTTTCTTACATGCTAGCGATTAATAATTATCCATTATTTTCTTATCAATATGGTTAAACATTTACGATTAATTGGCTAACTATATTATTTTTCATGGGATTCTATTTAATTTTTCATTCACCCTTTACAACATTATTTATGAATATGAATTGAATAGGTAAATTATGAATGAAGGTACTTCAATAACTTTAGCCTTTTAATATTTAATAAAAAAATTCGTGCTAATTTGTGTTAATTTGAAAAATAGGTAATGCCTCTATATTGTGTTTAACATTAAAACGGTTATCGCGAATGTGAATTCTCTTAGAATTTGTCTTTTAGGACGTCTATTAAAGACGATAGGGTAGTTTAGCCAGTGAAAAACGCAAACAGTCGACCGAGAAATGTCTTTTCTCTTTTTCTTCTTTCTATTTCTCTGTATTTCTACTGCTGCTGCCACGTCACGTCGAAAGAAACGGTCGCACATCACTGACGTTTTTTCCGTAGAGTCAGCAGCGTTGTGTACGCTGCCGTTGTCGGATGAAAGAGCTGCCGCTCTGCTTGGAAGGGGAGCAGCTAAGTGCTGAGAAACAAGTGTTCGGATTTCGACGGCACAGCATTTTGCAATGTAGGTCAGGTGCTACCGGTTTCGTAACTTCGACTACCTCGCGATGTTCCCTCTTTGTTTCTTTACTCCCGAAGGATAAATACTTTTTAATAGTTTTGACGAATGCGCTCCCGAGAACGATGGGATTCACTCTTTTTTTCCTTTTCTTTTTTTTTTTTTTTATCGTACTATCTTCGAAATCTTACGAAAGGACAAGAAAAAAGAGAAAAAGAAGAGAAAGAGAAAAAAGTCGTTAACGTCGATTTACACCTTTCTATTGAACGACGATAGCGAACGAGGAACGTGTGTCTGTTCGAGAGTTTAAAAAGTATCCAGTGTGAACGCAGCGATATCGCTAAGCTTTATCAAGTTCCATTTGAATTTTTTTCGGATTTTAGGATTTTATATCATATAAAAAGTATGAACGATATATAAAAGCGATGGATTAAAGAAAAATACAATTCCTATGTCGAATCGAAAATGATAAATGATCATTCTAAATAAATTGATGTTGATTCGTTGATTGTTCATGGATACCGACTAATACGTATTATCAAACTTCTAATTTTAATCCCATTACTTTTGAGTTCACTTCATTAACGTAAATTAGTCCATTTCGTTTTTGCCGTGATTAAACTGCAAGAGTTTTGTTGTCTCATGAGAATCGTCCGTGTAGATAAGCACGCGTCTATGTAAAACAGGACACGAAGACTTTAAAGCTACCGACCCGAGGGACGCCGATTGGTTGATCGTCAGATGCTCCGAGGGATTTGACGGTGGTCTACCGTTGACTAATTACGAGTTGGAGGTTTACAGCGAGGATAACGTTTATCATGTAAATACTATTTACTTGAATCACACGGATAGATCAACTGGCCCGGTCTTTGAGGTACCAGGATTGGAACCAGGTTGCAATTATAGGCTACATCTTTATGCCGTAAATGCAAAAGGTCGAAGCGATCCCGTCGTCCTTGAACCTGTTTCTCTCAAAGGAGTCGCCATGTATACAACAGGTGAGAAAAAAAAGAAACATACCTGGATCCTTTTTCATCAATTATTTCCAACCTTTCCGATCCTTCCGATAATACAATCTTTTTAATGGCATAAAAAGACAGATACAAGATTTATGCCTTTTATCGTGAAACGAATGGAGATTTTGTATATATATATATATATAAGAATTCTATATATAGAATTCTATGTATATATATCAGTGTGAACTGAATGATGTATTTGAAAGTGACATTTGTTAAGTTTTCTTCGAAGAAAAGACGATTATAATTGACAAATCTTCATTTAAAATCAATTCTTCGTATATACCTTCCTTTAAGATCTTTATCAATCATTTGTCTTTTTTTACAATATTTATTTCTAATATTACAAGTATAAAGATTGACATTACTTCTTACTATCTTGATAATTGAGATCATAAATGACGTGTATAAATAAAATATATTATAGTTTTGGACTTTTGTAAAGAGACTGCCCGTTATTACATATATGTATGAATAATTAGTTATTTATTGCCGGAGTTTTAGAAGATTGACAGGGAGCAAAGTGTTATCGACAAAGTATGAAATGTTATCTAACTTTAGGCGGTATAGTCTAATATTAACATAAAGTTACAATTAAAAGATTTCATAAATTATATTGTCGATATCTTAATTATATGATCAATGTCTGATAATCGAGTATTTGAGTTTCGATAAATGTCATTACAGAGTATCAAAAAGAATATCGCTATTAATTTTCATTCAGATAATAAAAAAAATTTCTTCTGTTGCGAGTGGCAAACGTTAACGAATCATTTTAATAAGAAATAATGAGTATATTGTTGGATGAAGAGAGAGAGAGAGAGAGAGAGAGAGAGAGAGAGAGAGAAAAGGACGTCAAGTCGTGCGTCGCTTGTAGCAACAGGATCGAGAACGTCCTTCAACGTTCTTGTTTACTTTTGTTACTATTATACTCGTTTCCCTTTCTTTTCTCTCCTTTCTCTTTCTCATTACGAGGAAGAGTAATAGTGGAGAGGTAAAAATGAAAAAGAAAGAATTTTTCTTTCTTTTTTCGCCTCTCACGCGAGCCTCCTTCGGTAACATCCATCGCAAGGGCTGAATTAAAATCGCATAAACGAGCCGAGTAGCTCTCCTCATTCTCGGTCGCATTTATCGTCTTTAATTTCCATCCTCATGCGTAATTCATATCGGTTACACGATACGATTCCGTTTTATGAGAAGGTACGCGTGTGCGAGTCCTTCTTTCAAGAGCATTCGCTCGCTCTTCGAGTCTCTTCTTGCTCATTTTGCGTTCACAATTGAATCGTGGCTTACCACCAATTGTGATCTTTTCTTTCTTCTTTTTTTTTTTTTTCCTTTTTCTTTTTTCTTTTTTTTTTTTTTTCTTCTTAAATAGCCATGAAACTAGTTAATATGATAATATGTTCAACGTAAGCGAATATGTATGTAAAACGGTGTCACGACGATTATATTAACTGATATACTTTCTAATTTTTTTTTTTTTTTTTTTAAGGAATATAAAGAGAAAATTTGTATTAGAATATTATTATTAGGGGAATAAAACGATTTAAGATAGATAAGTATATTTAACATTCGAAAAGCCATCTTCTTTCGTATTCTTAAAAAGAATCCTCTCAGAGGACATCGCGTATGTATAAACGAACGTATATATTTTTCATACATACATACATACATACATACATACATACATACATACATACATACGTAGAAGTAGGTAAACACGTAGGAATCCTTCAGAAGAGGCTAACAAGCCACAGCGTTTTCTGAATTCCAAAAAGGTCATCGTTCTCCGCGAACCGGTTCTCCGTTTCCTCTTAATCTTCGCTTCCGGAATCTACCTGCGTTTCCTTCGTGATCCAATAACAGAGAGAAAAAGCGAATTCCGCTTACCGGACACGTCTGTCCGAGATCGGCAAGCGTTCGGACGAGAGAACCCTCTTTCTTCCTTTTCTTCTCCATCCTTTTCCTTTCTTCCTTCTCGTCCTTTTCGATAAGAAGAACGATCCTTTCGAAGACGAGCCAATCTTAGCTCACAGACTTTGCTTCGATTACGCTGCAGTCTTTTCCTCGCAACTCGCCGTGGGTACAAATTAGTCGCCAGTTTGATTTTTCGATTTCTCTTAGAGTCAATTCAAGAAAATCGTTTCGACGAAGAAAAAGAAGACGTAGAAGAAGAAGAAAAAAGGAAAAAAAAAAAAAAAGAAAAGAATTCGAACGAATCTTTCTAATCAACGTTAACTAAATATTCCTTAAATCCTTAGTGTTTTCTTTCTTTCTCTCTCCTTTCTTTTGTTTTTTATTTTGCTTTTATTTTTCTTTTATTTATCTTTTTTTTTTTTTTTTTTTTTTATAAATCCCACTACGTTAATTATCAAACATCTATCTCAATACAATATTCTACGTGTAACTTAGTCTATTATTGATTTAATTCTTCCAAGGTCGTGGAACTTCCGAAGAAACTACAGATTACAGTCTATTGGTGGCTTGCTTTGCCGGGGGTATAACAGCGGTGTGCATCCTTATTGTTGGAATAACTTTAACTCTATATCGTCGGAATCATCCGATGCAAGGTATAAAGACATTAACAGAAGTGGTTCAATATGAGAGTAAAGATAATCGAATGTTAGCAACAACTACTACTATGCCCGGCGTGGCCGTTGCTACGATGACAAGTAATACTACTAGCAAGGATATAAGAGATGAGTTTAAAGAACGTAGCAGTGGCATGCCAACAGAATTACCCGACGACGATCCGGACTTGATACCAAACAAGCTCTTAGAGCAACGACCCGACATTTTCGAGCCAAACTATGCGCCAAGTGGAGCGAATAGAACGAAAGACTTTGGATGCCTCGAGGAGCTTGATTTTCCTTCGCCATCCTCGGTTCTACGAGCGAAGGATTCCTGGATCTACCCAAACGGTTACGTTGAGAGAGGAGGATCCGAAAGGAGCCTTAGTCCAGCTCGACCTAGCACGTTACCGGTTCATCGTACTCATGATATCTATACGAGGAGTCTTCGTGTTCAGGAAAGTTGTATATAAATGATTGACTAAAAATAGAAAGAAAGAGAGAGAGAGAGAGAGAGAGAGAGAAAGAGAGAGAGAGAGAGAGAGAGAGAGAGAGAGAATGAGTCAGTCTGTGTGCGCATGCCTGTATGGTAGAACCATTTTGACTATTTCAATCCTCGTACCATACGTTGTTCACTCGACGTTTGTACATAGAGACAATAAATATCGCTAAGGTTCATTGTCCTATCCCTTTTATCGCGTCTTTATCCCAATGCCCTGTTTCTTCTTCAGTCCTTCCTTTTAGAATTTAGGATAATTGTTCAAAGAAGCTAATATCACTTCCCGAAGGATCGCGTTTGTAAATAGACAATAAATCTCTCGTCGTTTAAGATTCCTCGTATTTATAATACCTTTGATTTTCAAATTTTTCGATACACGTTTCCCAATTGTCCTCCTTAATATGGAAAAATTAAAAAACAGTTTATTGGATTCATAAGGTTATGACTGGTATCACATTCGTTTTTCATTTCATTTTTCAGCTCCTCGAGAGTTTATGTAAACGTTTGTATATATGGATAATAAATCTCGTTGTGTAATAATTTCTTAGGATCCATTATTAATTATCCCAATGTTTTGAAACCAACGGTAATTTTTGACTATTTCATTATTACTTTGAAATATGATTATTAATGATATATAAAAGCTCATATATCATTAATTATTTGAAATAATTCTTTTCTCTTTTTCCTTTAATTGGATTGAATTTAAATTAAAAACAAATTAAATACGATATCTGAGCGTATTTTCGTTACGAAAATAGATTATGTTTTTGAGGTAAATTATTAATTTTAGTCGAAATCAAATATAGAGATTGCTATATCAAACGAATTAATTTCGCTTATTTTATATATTTTTATAATTCATTTTACATTTACATATAATTATAATTTATATAATCTATATTGCAATGTATTTAATTTCAAACGAAATCGTAAATATTAATTTCTTAAAACGATCAATTCTTATATGAAACGAGCATGAAATGATCATTTTGAGAATCAAACCAAAATGCGTGACGTTGCGAAGGTACATCCGATCAAGAAATTCCGTTGACGGGAATATTTTTTGCTTTTTGCGAGTAGTCGTTGATTTTCAACGAACGGTTTGCTCTGCCGACGGATTCGCCGATAAGCCGCTTATCGTCGTTTCGACGCTCGAAAGGTCCACGTCGATAGTCGCTTTGGTGAGCCGGCCAAGAGCCGACTGGACGTCAAACGGCGTTCGCACGACGAAAACGACGGAAACGTCGTGGCTGGGAGCTTTCTCGCGTGCAAACACACTGTGTTGTCCAGTCCGATAAATCACATCGTTAGGACAACGGCTGTTTCGACCCATCGAATTTCTCCTTTCGCTTGCAACGGAAATAACCTGCTAGCAAGCCAAAGGGTCTTATAGAGAAAGGAAAATGTACTTGCTGTACGTGACAACAAGAAAGAAAAACAAAAATCTGTCTGAACGGATTTACAATTAATTAATTGACGCAGCATCATTTCTTATTATGCACACTTCATTCATTTTTCATACTTCATTCATTCATTTTTTTTTTTTTATAAATTCAATTTTAATTTCATTTTAAATTCTATCTGAATGGTTATTGTAGGTAATTTAATTGTATACATTGCGTATTGTATATTTTTATCGCATACAATATACACGTAGATCTATATCTTAGAATCGTTTTTTTTTCTTTTTTTTTTTTTTTTTTTAAAGCAATTGTTCTAATTTTCACGTAAGCTATCGTTTTTGCATTCAACGAGAATATTTATAATATACTTGTAATATTATTGAAATATTCTTTTCAATAGTTTTGTCTAAAGACTATCCTTTCAATGTACGAAAGAACGAAATTTTTTTATTTATATGGATTTGAATGAATTTTTGAACGATCTTCGAAAGAGTTTCAATATATATATATATAACTATCGTAATTATATGAAATCGTGAATGATCATTAATCCTGTTAGAAAATTTACTTTATATTTGACGTAGAAATGCGTAGAATTTTACGAGATAAACTTAATAGCAATTATATTATTATTAAGATGAGTGTATAATCAATTTATTAATGGAAATTCACACATACCACTATGAGTAATATGATAATATTTTTTCCTTTTAAGAAAGTAATATTTCTTACGCGATAAGAATATTTTTGAGGTAACATTGAAACTATTCCATTCATTTATTTTTATTATAGCAACCGGCATGGCTGTTTGTAAGATTCGTCAAAATTATTCGTACGAGATGTTGGAAGGCTTGAAAGTAAAAGATATTTTTCGTTAAAATCACAATGCGTCGAAAGATACCCCCAGAGCGTTATAGCAACATTAAGAGAATTTCGTCGAAATCGAAAAAAAAGGCGGGTAAGTATGAAATATTTGTTAATCGACGTTTATTAACCTAAACTATGTCAATGTTTTTGACGTAATAATTAATTGTGTCATTGTGTAATATATATTCAATTCCAAAGAAAAGAATCGTAGAGTTTTGATAGACTTCAAACTGCAATATTAATTTTTACATAAATTTCGTGACTCATTTAATGTTTATTAAAAAATGTAAGGAAAGTCGTTAGTCTTTCCTTTTTTTAAAGTACTACCTTTGGGAAGGAAAAATATTCGACGAGATTTCTGAAAAGAAGAATTCGATATAGGATGTGATCTAAAAAAAGAAAAGAAAAAAAAATAGAAAGAAAAGAATATTAAAAAAGGATTAATAAGTCAAAAGAGAAAAATTAAAAATTAAAAGAATTAAAAAATTAACAAAATTAAGAGACGGAAAAAAAATGATCGTGAGGTGGTTATTCCGTTGAGATTTAGCTTTTTATTTCATTTTTTTTCTCGTTGAGCACTCTTTTCGTCATCGAGTTGCAACGAAAACGTACAGGAGATTATTTTTTGAAGAAAATGGTGTGGTTTCACAAGAAGAGTGCTAGTAGAGAAAGTGAAGAATCATCACGAGCATTTGTAAAAGACAAATTGCTTAGCGCACTTTACGAGATGAGCTAACATCGACGTCAGATCGATAAAAGACCATCGAGTATCTAGAAAAGATATGAAATGTTAACATAGTGATGTCATTCGAATATTCTTTTTTTCTTTTTTTTTTTTTTTTTTTTTTTTTTCTTTTTATAGATAAATGAATCATACTTTTTCTGCGAAATTTTCTTATAAAATTTTATAAGTTTATCAGAGGATTGAAAATTATATAAAAACAATTATTTCTAGGTATACGTTACGTAAATATAAATGTATATATGTACGTACGTATATATATTTATATATATATATATATATATATATATATATATGTATACTCATATGTATATGAATCTTCACAGATCAATACATTATTAATGTATGTATATTAAAGAAAAGTAATTTTCTTTTGTGTCATATTATATAGCACATCGTTGTTTTATATTTCGAATTAAAAGTAAATTGATGAAAACTCGGAGAAAACGTCTACGTGTAGATTGTCATTCTGTCTAAATGTCTACGTGTAGACAGGATGAGAAGATGATTTTTTCATCATACGAAGTAAAGTAAAAAGAAAAGATTTCGTCGAGCGTTCCCACAGTTTTTTCTTTCTTTCTCTTTCGTTACGTTTCAGTTTAACCATCGAAATTTTACTTTGAAACACTTCCTACATTTTTTTCTTTTTTTTTTTTTTTTCTTTTTTTTTTTCTTTTTTTTTTTTATTCTTTTATATATCTTCTCTTCGTTGCATTGGCAAATTTATGAAAGAGAAATGAAAGTAGATATACAGCGACACATCTTGTCAGTTCGCGAGATATTTTAAAGATTTATATATTATACTTATTATACTAGTTATGATCGATATATTAGTTTCTAACTTTTCGAAACTCAAAGAGAACACATATATAATAAATCTGTGTACTTTACTGTATAATCACGTGATAGAATTTTTGAAAAAAATCAAAGTTCGAAATATTCTACCTATTCAGCTATTAATATACTATACAGAAGGATTCAATAACACTTTGTATTATATTATATTAAAGATAGAAAGAAAAAGAGAGAGAGAGAGAGAGAGAGAAAGAGAGAGAGAGTGAGAGAGAGAAACTAAAAGACTAAATTTAATAAAGCTTGAAGTAATTATATTCAGAAAATTTACAACGAGCTTCGTCGAAAGATCGAAAGAATGCAGTGATTTTTAATGATCGAACATTTTCAATGATGCGTCTTGAGAAAAAAATTTTTGCTTATATATATTATCTTCTTGAATATATTCGATCATATTCGAGGATTTATAGAAATTTTCAAAATTTACATAAAATTTTCCAAATATTATGGAAAATGAAGAATGTTTAAAAGGGAAGAGAATATCAATCGAAAAAATTTGATTCGTATTTAAGTTAGAGGAAAGAAGAAAGCAAAATGTCTAACTTAATCAAAATGAATATTTAAAGAATTTAATAATAATCAGGCTATGAAAGAGATTAGCTTCGTTAGATATATTAGTGGTAATATTAGAGAAAAAAAAAACATTGCAAACATTGTAATATATTTTTTAATTAGTTATGTGTATATATATATATATATATTAATTTTGGTTGTGATTGTATTATTTTTAATAATTCGATTGTTATTTTTAAATTATTGAACGGAGTATAGTGCCATAATTCTATTTTTCATTTTTCTTTGACATACCAGTAAATGGAAATTACGTTTTGTCGAGAAGTGCCGAAGCTGTACTGTCAACTATCGTTGAGGGAATCCTTGATGAATCATTGGAAGACGCGAAAAATATGGCAATTATGTCTGATAAGAATTGCGTGACCTGCGAGGAAATGGAAAAGGCCTTGAAGAAGCTTTGCTTACGATTGAACGATCATTTCGTTATTAGTAAGAGCAAGCACGATTTTTCTATAACTGAAACGAATCTATCGATCAATTGATTCTCATTGATAAATCCATTTTTCGTTGATTCATCATATTAATTCATTTATATTATATCTGTATTTCGATTGGAAACAATTAAAAATGTTATATTCTTCTGTCAAACACGTTATTCTTTTCTTGAAATCATATCAAAGATTTATGTATATGTATCTATTGAAGCATTTTACAGAGATATATTACAACGATCAATTACAATAGATATTCAAGTTAGGAAAGGGTTCGGTACGAAGAACAAACTGGATGTAACGAATGTTTTCTCTCTCTCTTTCTCTCTCTCTCTCTCTCTCTCTCTCTTTCTATCTATCTATCTATCTATCTCTCTCTATCTCTTGAATTTTGGGATTTAAAGCGGATTTTCGATCGCAATGGATGGCATTGCTGTGGTCCGACGATACAAAGCCTTCCTGTTACAACTGGCTGTCATTCTCGTTCTTTTGGATTTTTCGTTTTATACCGAGTGTCTCATTTAAAATGATACGGTCAAATATCTCCGATTCTATTTGTTTTATAAACAAATGTTTCGAATAAAAGTTGTTAGTTTTTTGAGGGTGAAATGCAATATTTATTGCAGCTATTTCGTAAAGGCCGCAGTTATAACAATATTTTTCTTTTTT